GGGGAAACTAGCTCGTTAGACGCTAAAACTCGAAAAGGCTATCAAAGGAAATGTGACGAACCTGGTTCAGACCTATGCAAAAGAAATAACGTGGTCACCGGAAGAGAATTCACAAATATGGAAATCTAAATCGAAACCCGGTTGCAGATTTTCAGTACCAACCCTTACCCACAGGAAAACCTTTCCACAGAGATATGAGTCATTCTAGCCCAACGAAGCTGTGACTCAATGCAGAAAACCTTGAAGAACAATGGGCAGTCTCAAAGAAAAAGCTGATGAAGTGTTATTGATTGCACGGCCAAGTAGAAGAAAAGACGTTCCCATAGAGGAACCAGAGTTACGTACTAATTACCAGCCGATTTGGATATGCAGCCACTACAGCCAGTTACATCACTTCAGCGGTAATCGAATTTGTGGTTCGTGCAAAGTGCAGCGTTTCCATCAATTTGGTCACGACCTTCTAGGAACCAAAAATATCCGATCAAAAATGGTTGCTTCACCCCTCAGCCAGGGTCAACCGTGACGTTCGCACTTTTTCTAAAAATTAGCCCCCTCCTTTTAGGGGGGTCTCGATGCGATCCCCCACCGCCACCATAAGATTCAGGAAGCCTCAAAAAATTACTAATCCCACTCATCCCACCCCACCCCTGAATGGGACCCCTTCCCAAGACCACAAATGCGACCCCCCGTTCGAATAGTGCAAACGCACAGTTGACCCCCTGCCCTCAGCTACCTTTTTATACCATTTTAAAAACAACTCATACCACCAATGCAGGAAATAAGGCAGATCTCTGATGCACATAGCGCAATGGTTAGAGGAATGGCCTACGAGCAAACAATTGGTGGTTCGATTCCTTAGATAAAACTTAAACTTAGTTAGTGAACTAGTGGGTTGGCAAACATGGTAAACACAACAAAGCACAGACAAACCTAGGCACTTATGGCTAGGTTTGTCTGTGACACCTGAGGGAGTCTCACATGCGGAACGAATTGAATACTATACAATTTCCAACGAAAGTAGGATACACGGCGCATCCCAGAGGCATAAACCAGCGCCTCCCACTTTCTCATTTTAAGTCAAACAAAGTTTCGAACGCTTTCTTTTCAAAATCTTCGGGGCAACAGCCCTGTTCCAATTGATTTCACAACTTTTTTCACGAAGGGTCATGGCTGACCGTGGGGACGGCCTGCTCAACGGCAGCCACCGGGCGTTTTTATCGTCAAATATGCCATTGTTCCGTTAAATGCACAGAAGGACACTTCGTATATCGTCGATTCTTTGCAGATCTCGTCACTACGTCAAACGTTTACGATCACGGTCACGACAT